TTATTTATTTTTTTTTTTTTTTTTGTTTTATTTTTTTAATTTCGGGGTTTATCAAAGTTTTTTTTTTTTTTATTTTGTTTTTTTTTTTTTAATTTTTAAAAAAAAAAAAAAAAAAAAAAAAAAAAAGAGAGGAATAAAGTCAAGATAACAGAAAATAAAATTCAAATAAAATTATTGAACATGTCTGCTTACATTCGTATATTTGTACATATTTAGAGAGGTAGAGAGAAGAAGAAGAAGAAGAAGAAAAAAAAAATAAAAGAGAAAAACGAAACGACTGTATAAATTTTTTATCTGCAGAGTTTAATAGTTAAGAAACTATTTGAATGTTAAATAAGTTGAATCAAATAAAACAAATGATAAATTTCAAGTAGGATACTATGATTATTGTGAGATCAACATATCTTGCTTTTTTTTGATACACAAAAAAATAAAATAAAATTAAACATAATAGTCAATATGAATCTTTTTCACTTGATATTTCATTGGTATTTAACAAATCTTCCATTTAGTATATGGTTAATATGACCATCAATATGTATATGTCTCATTGAACTCCTATAACATCGTTCTAAAAGTTCAAAGAATAGAAAAAGAAATATTATTTGACTTTCGTTCATTTTTTTTTATTTGAATGTTGTAATATACAGAGAAGAGATGTAATTGTATATTTGTGTGACTATTATCATATACCATTAAATTGACAACAATTTATTTAGGATCCTATGTTATATTTTAAGTAAAAATCAGCTTATACATACAGAAAAGTTAAAACAAACGATAAATTCTGCTACAAAAAATCTTAATCTGATATTTACCATTGATAAAAGCAAATAAAAAATACAAAAAAAAAAGCAAAAAAAAAAACAGAAGAAAACAGATTATTCTTCTTAAACTTCATAGAAAATCTTACATTACATAATTCGTTGAAGAAAACTTGTTTTTCTCTCTAAACAGAAAATATTCAAAAAGAAAACACTGAATTTCACTGGAATTTTGTGATTCGACTATTTTCCTACAATTGTCATTTTACATTTTTAGTTTTTGAAAAAAAAAAAAATGAATCTTAATGGTTCTATTAAATACAAGTGGATTGATGTACATAATTCTTAAATGAATCGTTGAGTTAGATGTTTTTTTAACGGACAACTAATGTTTTTTTTTCTATGAATATGGAATTATATATTTATGCAAAAAAATAACATTGAACAATAGAAAGAAAATAATAAATAACATAATTCTCTCTTCTATCTTAAAATGTTTATATTCATCGAGGATAGAGAAAATTAAAAATTACTTCACTAGAAAATAATTATGAATAAATTCTACACTCATATGAACAGCTTTAGAGAATGTGTGCAAAAGCGTCAAAGAGTAGTTGAATAATTACTTAATATTTAATAAGGCATTTAACGATGTAAAGTAAAACTTAGTCTGCCCTCCAAAAAAAAATGAATTTTTTTTTTTTTTTTTTTTGCAAATAAATTGCATGGCTTTCAACCGTAAAAACTAATTTTGTGATTCACATTTGGGATTTGAGTTCTTAAGCCTTTAAAATTCATATTTAGAAAAAAAAAAGAAGTTGTTAGTCAAATACACAAACTGTTCATTAGAAAAAAAAATTGTTGTTGTTAGAAGAAAAAAATGAGTTGCTAAGGCAGATTGTTCAATAGTACTTAGTCACACATATTTGGAGTTCACAAATTATTTGTTTTCATACAACGTCAAGAATATCGATGGATATGAAAATGTATGGACTTTATTTTTTTGGCATCACTTTGAAAGATTAAATAGGCCATTATCTCTAGAACAATGGCAACAAAAACATCAACGGAAACAATAGAGACGATAATTCGATGATAGGAGAAAATAAGAGGATGCAAAGAAAGACACCGAAGATTCAAAGTAAATGGAGATGAAAAGAAACTAACTTATTTATAAAAAGGAATTTGACCAGGTAAATTTGTCACATATAATCAATTGTAGAAAATGTGGCCAAATTCAAGTCTCACTCGTTCAAATTTCGCACACTCGCCTCCACATATAATATCACCGTATTTGAAGATTCTTTAAAAATTAATTTGAAATTAATCAAAAATGTGCGAAGTTCGGATAGTAATGATAAATTTATATTATTCTTTGTGTAAAAAAAAAAAATATGTCAATCGTGATCATATGTGAAAAGTCCATACATTTTTGTTCATATAGAAACAGGAAATTAAAAATTTTATACAAGTAAAAACAATGAGCCACAGAAAAAAAAAAAGGATAAGATGGAAGAATAAATTTTTCAAAAACTAGGTCTTTTTTATTTAGAATATAGTTGTTGATAATCGTTTATTATGATGTATATGTCGTTTTACCCTCAATTCGTCCCAAATTGCTCACTCTCACATCTGCTTGCCCCTTTAATATTTCATCTTACAAAGCTAATTTGGAATGAACTAAGAAGACATCGTATATGCCTACTTTTTCTCATAATTAATTAAGATGATTAAGACGATGATGTTATTCCTTGTATACCAGCTGCTTTATGTAAAACATGCCATACAGCCGTTCGTTGTTGACATTCAATAACTTCTGTCCAATGAATAATTTCACTATGAATTTGACTTGTAGAATTCAATAATGTACCATTGGGTTTTGTTTCAAAACGTAAAAATCCAAGTGGTTCATCAGGACCAATTAAATCATGATGATAAACACCTAATTCAAGGCAACATTCGGTTAATGCAATACCAGATGTATTAAATGATAATTCTTCGTTCCATTTTGGATTCAATGTATTTCGTTTGACACTTGTCTTTTTACGTTTGACTTTGTCATGACCAATTGTAAACGTTAAACGAACAATGGGATCTGGAAAGAGTGAAGAAAAACAGAAAAGTTTTTTTTTTTGTTTTTTTATATCAATATTAATGGGAAAAGGAGAAATTTGACGTTAAATTATTTCATAAAATTTTAAATAATCATTTTAGTACTCATTTTTATATATCTAATTTACCCGCTTCATTATGCATCGATAATGCTTTTAAATTTCTTGCTTCAACAATGCCAACATTAAGTCTCTCTGCTTGTACCAAATAGGTCAACGATACTAATAATTCACCAAGATATTCATCTTCCTAAATAAAAGACAAAGAGAGATGATTGTATGGTAGAAATCTATCTAAGATTAAGAAAGATATTCAATTATTATTGTTGTTATATTTGTTGTTGTTAATATTCGAAAGATAATCGTTACAAATCTTTTTTTTTCTCTTCTTTGTCATCTCTCCGGTTTATATAGTTTATTCATCATGAACATATTATAACATCAAGGTGAGTGATTCAAGGTATTAATCTATTTCTTTCTTCTTCTTCTTTTTTTCATTCATGTATAAATTCAATGAAATGATGATCTATGTGTTTTAGAGTCGTACTTAGATCGATAAATTCTATTAAACGATCTTCTACGATCATACATCAAGATGTGACAAGATTTCGTGATGGGTGGAGGATAAGAAAAAAGAACAATTACTAATGGAATATTATTTATGAATAATATACTCAGATATTTCTAACATGAAATAAATAAAATGATTTGACGAAAAAAATGATATTAGATAAGTCAATGCAAATGCTTTTCGTTCCTTCTGTTTTTTTTTTTGTTTTTTTTAATAACAGTCGATTTTATCTTGACTAGAATATCCCGAAGAATTTAATATTTCTATGAGAACACTCAATTGATTCATTCAACCGAAAGACATGAACTTTCTGTTTTGAAAGATATTAAAAAAATTCATGTATGATTATTAACTTAAAGACCAATTTCATCAAAAAAAAACAAAGGTTATATAACATCATGAAATATTGTTAATAAAGTAGAGAATGTTCTTAATTCATCTTTCATACTTTTATTTATCAATAGCAACATCGCCTGTTTGAAACTAATTAGAATTGAATAGTATCCTTGTTGTTGTTTTTTTACTATTATTATTATTATTATATAGTGTCCTATAAATCTACTCACCGATCGTTGTTTAGTTATGTTACACCAGAGGTCACTTCCATTCGTTTTTTGTGGTGTTAATTTGACTTGTGTTTCACCAATAAATTCTGGACGACTATTTTGCTCATAATTATAAATATAAAGAAAGAGTGTTTTTGTTTTTAATTGATCGGCTGTGGCTACATTAAATTTAAAATATTCATCCCAACATGGATTTAATGTTTGATGTTGAACGGATGTTTGACGTAATTTTTGATCAACAGGAGGACGTAAATACAATTTTCCATAGGGATTAGAAAATTCTTCTTTATCAATTGGAAGACCTTGAGCTAAAAACAGAGATTAGTTGATTTTTTTTATACATTAAAGAATAATTATAAATAATTCAACTGTTTTAAAGTCCTGTGATGTGTTAAAATGACCAAAGTTCTCATGTCTAATGCATCTTAATTACGGCACGGAATAGAAAGAGTCATGTTTCGCCTATTTTAAATAGAGATGTATCATGAGACCTTGATTTATTATCGACTCTTCTTTATTCTATTTAAAAATAATTGATTTTGAAAAGTATAATTTCCATTTTCATTTTGAAAAGTTCAGTTTATCTCCGTAAAGTTGATGAGTTTTTTTTACTATACTCGAGTAAATCGAATATATTAGATGGATTTATTTTTATAATTAATTGCTACTTACGTAAAAACTAATTATGATAAAATTTCTATTTATTAAGTCAATATTAAAAATAAATTTACATGTTCAAAAGGTAGAAGTCAAGGTTAAATTCATTTTCATTATAGTTTTTCTACTTACCTTCAATAACATTGACAATTAATTCATTTCTATGATCATCATATTGTATTCTTAAATGTAATTTCCTTGAATTTTCTTTCACGATAGCTGCTTCATCATCTAAGAATCCTCCTTTTCCACCTCGTTGCATATACATATCGGGTGATATTGATCCAAGTGCACCACGTAACGCTCTTTCAACATGAAATTGTTGTTTTAACGATAATAATGCACTTTCATTTGTAGTTGTACTAATCGATTTTGAACGTAAACTCAATGTTTCTTTTTCTCCACCAGTCAAAGATGGTGGAGATAGTAGACCTTGATCACAGTAATTTACAACTTTTCCAATTAGTGGTGCAGTCCATTCAGCAATTGATACGCGCGGTGATGTGACAGAAGTTTGTGCTTTTATTGGATTAGAAATCGGAAACTTTGGTATAGCATATCGAGCAGATGGTGAACGTAACAGAGATTGTCTTGTACAAGTGATTGATGATGCTCCAGTGGCTGAATTTGTTTTTAGTTGTGGTTGTTCACTTTCTAATGGTGGCATAATATTTGATATTGATTTTTCAACAGTATCTGAATCTGGAAATAATTTAAAACGAATCGCTTTTGTTCCCTCTTCAATTTCATTAATATTTACACAATTAGCCGTAGATAAACGAGGTTTATTGTGTACCCTTGATTCACGTCGTGTATAGTGTTTTCTTACGGCTTTGGCATCATTATCATCATATGATTGAGACATACGTGTTTCACTTTTCTTATGTAATAGAATTGAATCTGATGCCACAGATGGCCGGGAATTTGCCGAACTAATTGAAAGGCGAGATAATTTTTCAGATAATATTGATAAACGGCCACTTGCAACTGATGTGCGAGGTGAAGTAGAAATGGTTTCTTGAGTAATAACAGGAGGTTGTTGTAATTGAACGATGGGAGCATGATTCTGAAAATAAGCACAAAAACAAAAATATTTTCCAGTTTACTAAACAATAGTCGACCAATGATATGAATTTTGTCTGTTTTCGATTGTATGAGTACTTCTTCTCTTCTAACATAAAGAATTGTTAGTGTTATACTTACGAGATGTTCTGGTGGTCTAAAATATGTTTTTGGTTCAACATTACCAATTGCACCATAGTTACTGATGGATCTTACACAATATCTTCTACTTGATGGTAGACAACATTTACAAAATACAATTGTTGCAATAATAATGACAAGAATTACGGATAAAGCTCCAATACCAATACCAATAAACAAATCAAAACGACTCGATAACATTTTTTCCTTAATAAATGATTTATCTCACTTTACATAGTTTTTAAACACTTCTCATTATTGACTATTAACTAAAATAAATAACTACACTAAAATCATGAAGTCTAAATAAACAAAAAAAAATTAAATATAAAAAGTTATTTACAATAATAAAGAGTTGATAAATGATTTATATATATATATATATATATTCAAAAAACAAATGATTAAACCTAGTAGAGATTATTCTTCTAATATTTAATTGTTTTTTTGAAAAATAAACACGAGTTACATTCATAATTTAATTTATTTTATCGAAGAACATTTTTTAAAAAAATATCATTGATCATTAATCAGTATACTCACTCGTTGCATGTTATTATCAAAATATTTCGATAATCGCACAAAATCTATCAAAATATGAACACGAACTTTTCTTCTTCTTTTTTTTTCTCCCATTTTTTAGTATATATAAATAGAATAAAAAATTTGATCTTATTCAATAGAAGAAAAAAGGTTTATCGATCCGATAAAATGACAGAAAAAAAAAGTAAAGACACAAAGAACCCACTTACTCACTGTTATATATCCGTGTTAAATGAAAAAGAAATCAGCCGATTCATCAAACCTAAACCTACAAAGTAAAACAAAACAAAAATATTTTTATAAGATTTGTTGAAATTAGACTTTTAAACAAAAGATGAGTTTGTAATAATTATTTAATGAAAAATTTTGAAAGCATTAGAATTAATCTTATTTTTTCCATAAAATAATGAACATTTCAAAACTGAACAAAAAATACAAAATTTGAAAAAATTACTTTTATTTCGATCTTTTGTGTGATATTTACTCTGCATAGATAATTCGATGAGTTTTTTTTCTTTTGATATGATGAGAAAAGAAGAGTAAAATCAAAAAATGACGATTAACAAAAAATTGTATGCTTGGATTCCGTTATAGTAAGTTCGTAAAAAGCGTCTTTATCTTACTGAATAGCCATTTTTCATAACAATCACGCTAATGGAAACTTGCACGCACAGGAAACTTCAAAGATGTGAAAATGTTGCTGATATTCTCTAATTGTGTCTATTCTTAACGAATGCGTGAGGATTTACCGTTAAATAAAACCTGTTTTAAATACTAGTTAATATGGATAATTTTGGAAAAGTGTAACGAAGTTGTGTAAATTTTTTTTTGTAAATGTTTCTGAAATATATGATAGAGAACTGTTAACACTTTTTTCATTTGAAATTCCGTCCTGCTGAAAAAGAAATGTAATTGTCTATTCTAATTAAAATGAACTTAATAAACTTACGAAACAGTACTTTGTTATACCCTGAAACTGAAAAAAATTAATTTACAATTTTTTTACATATAAAGTTCAAAACAGTATGTTTGATAGGGTAAATAATATTTTGACATAACACCTGTAGCTCATGTATGAAACTGACACATAATAATCGACTCTAACATGATTGAGATCACATTTTTTATATGTTTATTAATAAGATTTAGAAAGTGATCTCAATTTGAGATAGAAAATTTATTCTTTTCGTACAATTTGTACACTATTTATAATTTATAAAAATATTTACAACAATCATATTATAGATGGTGCATACTCATCATCATCTTTTACATTACAATCATTATTTAACACAGCTATATAGCGAGAATTTAATGATTGTTGCTTGATAAACTAATGTGTTAAACGATATAAATAACTTTTATATAATATACCATCCTGATTCCTGTCAGTTCTGACATGAGAAAAATATAGATTTGTCGACATTATAGGATTCAGAGATGAAATAGGATGGATAGAGATATTATGTTTCAAGATAATACTATTCATTCTTTTATCGAACAAAAGCTCCTTTCTTCATCCAGCTATATTCGGCTCAGGAGTTGAGCCAAAGCTGATCTGTTAGAGTTCACAAAGTTTATCAACACTGTTTGAAAACAAATGTTCATTTATTTAACATGAAACGTATTCACACGCTAAATTACCTTTATTTCAAAACATAGATTATCATAGGAAAGTCTTATCTAAGTTAAATTCTTTCTGAATAGATCTACCGAAATTCAGTTGTTATAGAGACCATAGGGGAAAAGTAGTTTAGTACGGTTACTTATTAGCACAAGTTACTAATTACTATCACTTTATGCTTGAACGAATAGTAGACACTGTTTTTGAGAAAACCACTTACTTAATGAGTTACAGTCATTTCACTAAATTCTACTCTATCTTGTTGTCTCAATATGAAGAAAGATATTTTTCTCCGAATGACTTGTATATGATATATTCTGATAAAAAATTCTTACGTAAAATTGATAAACTATTAAATAATATCACGAGAATAGAGTCAGTAAAAAGTCGATAGAAAAAGGTGGCAAAAAAATAAAAGGAAATTATGTTTTTGATACTGTTCTTTGATTTACCTGTCATGTTCATATATATCTTTATCAACAAAAAAAGTGAATGGAAAGATAATCCTAATTTGTGTCTAACTTTGATATTATCTATAGAACATGAACATGTTTAAAAACACTCCACAACATATTTTTTTTTAATAATAGTCAGCTAAAAGCAGTTCTGTCATTCATGTTGGAGAAATGAAGAGTGTATTTAACCTTTTCCCACCACTCAATTCTCCTGTTCATGTTCAGTATGCTCTCTTTCTCTCTATCGCTTTCTTCCGAGAGGAGAGTATTAAAATAATAATAATAATGAAAAATAGAAGAGAGGAAGTGAAGAAAAGAAATATTTTTTCTTCTTCTTTGTGACTTTATGAAAATCATGGATCTTCCATTCTTTTCCTCAAATACTACTAAAATAATATTTCATGTCATAATTACTTCTTTTACTGTAGTAACATGAACATAAATGATTGTTTTTCCCAAGCATTTCACAATAAATTGTTCTTAGTCAATTGAATACATAGAGATACTCTTCTAATGATGATGGATCCTTCTCATCCTACGATCTATTGTTGGCAAAATATGTTTTCAAAAGAAAAAGAACGAAGAAATGATAGAAAAAAAAAAAACGATTTCAAAATATATACGCAGTTATAGATATAGATACATCATAATGCAAATAAAAAAAAAATATATATATATATTTTTGAAATAAAAAGAAACACTTGCTCAAAAAAATAAGATAATACAAATACTGAAGATTTTCTTTTCATCACTTGACTTAAGGCAATATATCTAAAACAGTTTTAATTTTATAAGAAAAATCTCTTCTCTTTTCAGTTTTCTTCAATAAGACTAAAACATAACAGATATATTCTATTAATCCTCTTTTTGACATATGCCATTTCTCTTGTACTCTGAATTCTCTCTCTACTAAGAGAGAAATATAGATAATTTTCTTCTTAGATATAATAGAAGATTTTTCACAATATAAGATCAATAATTAAAGAATAGACAAAAATAGATCTTGAAAGATCTATCTACATAATTATTTTTGTTTGATTAAATACTAAAAAAAACAAAGTTCATGCCTCTAATTAGTTGAATGATACATATTGTATTATTTTATTGAAAAGAAAATCTTTGAAATTAAATAAATCAATTTTCGCTACATTAGAAGATAATTGTCACTTAAATTAGATAAAATCAAGACGTCTGATTTTTTTTTTTTCTCTTCTTCTCTCTATTGAACAATAGTATACGAAGTAACTAAATTTTTAATAAATCGAGAGATATAAGATTTTCGAATGTAGAACAAACGTTATGTAACAGTACTTAATAAAATCACTACATTTTTTTTTTTTTTTTTTTATTAATAATTTTTTAATGTAAAATATTTCAATTTCAATTTTGATTTTCTTCATCGAAGTTTGAGAAAAATATTTGCGTGTTTGACTAACATATCGATTGACGATTAAAATTTTATTTTTATTCCTATTTGTAAAATTAGTGTATTGACTATTATCAATCAAAATATGACAGTTATGAGTTGATTGAATAGATGTTTTTCTCACGTGAAATATTTCAAATTATAAAAAATAAAATAAAAATGAATCTCAATATCTTGTATTTTTTAGAACAATACAATTGGATTATAGTCGTTTCGATAATATTCAACGAATTTTTCCATAGAAACAATTGATAACGATCCTTGTTCCATTAAATCTCAAATAGATAAATAGTTTTTTCGTTGTATAATAATCCGATCGATTTCATCCATTTATCCAGTTAACAATGTGAAAGTAAAATATACTCTCATCTGATCATCTAACAAACATAAGCAACAATTGTTTACGTTTAATTTTTTTTTGTGTTTTTTTTTTTTTTAAATCAAATTTCAAATAAAACATTTGATTGTACACCGTACACATGACGAATTCGAACATTCAATAAAATCTGAAATCTTATAAAAAAAAATTGAAAAATAGTTAATAGATTGTAAAGAAAATTTGACAATAAATATTTGTAAACATTTGCATAGACAAATAGTCTTATTTTGTCAAAATTTATCAATATCAATTTTTTATCAAATAATTGCAAACAAACAATTCTCTTTAATATTCTTGTTCTTAAACAAAAACAATTGACCAGCAATTGACTTTATTCTACACTATAGTCGTCAACTAATTTTTTCATCGCATTATCATTCTTCTTCCCACTTCAAATAATTCTATTGTGTAAATTTTCTCTAGAATAAAAAGTGAACTAAATAGAGAAATATCTTGGGTTTTTATTATTATTTTTTTTTTTTTCTTCAAAATATATTACAAAATATTTATTAAGAGTCGTCTATTTTTAAATGATATATTTTTTTATTTGTTTACAAAAATGTTTTATAATAGGTTTTTGTAAGCACTGTTTCTTGAAGCCTGGAGGAAAAAAAAGTTAATGAAATGAATTTCTTTTTCTATGTTGAAATACAGATTGCATATGTCTTTTCCACATGTCTATTAGATTCTTTGTAGTCAATAATTTTAAAAATATTATCAATTAAGTTCTCTTTCTATAAGTCAGTCATTTATCGAGAAAATATGTTTTACACATTGTTAAAACTTGTTTTTTCTTGAATTAATCGATTTTTTTTTTTTTTGTTTGACATATTGACTTTGGAGTTTTCTAGATTTTTCCATTTACAATTCATCAGAACAAATAATTTTTTTTTCTGTTCTGACGAGCGAATAATTTTTTTTTTGGAAAATGAGACTACAGAGATTTTGAAGTTTTTGAGATATAATGTTTCTGATAAGTAAACAGAAGAAAATTTGTATTATCCATTAGCGACAGATTAATAATAGAGACTAGAAGACATTTGAGTTTTAAGAGATTAATAAAAAGTCTCAAGAGAAGGTATATATAACTGTTGTTTGCGGTTGTTTTTAAGACTATTTAGAAAATTTGGTTATAACACGATTATTAAGCATTATCAAAACTTGGGAAACGTGCTCTTCTTCTACATTTTATATAAAAATAAAACTTAAACGGTAAAAGAGCAAAAAATTTTATTAATAAATTATGAAAGAGACACGTATAGTTGATTAACTAAAGATCAGTTATTATAAATCGTCAGTTATGGTATTTTAGAATACTCATGTTTTATTATAATAAAAAATTGGTCACATAATCATTTTCGTTTTTTTATTCCAAAAATTCATAGAACAAACGTTTCTTTACAACAATTTGAGATGTTGTGCCTGAACGATTCTAAATAATTAGATTATATTCATTTTTTCTAGATGTTCTAAAACCCGGTTATATAACTAGTACACATTGAAATGTTACGAACTAATGCTGTAAGAATGACTTGTAGAAAAACAAGTACAATGTTAGAATGAAAGAATAGATAAAAGAATTTGAGTATACAAAAATATAAAACAAATATTTTTTTTTATGAGAATAAGAGATTACAGAACTCTATGCTATCTTTTATTCAAATTTCCTTCTTCTACTAACAATATCTCCCAGAAGGTCGGTTCGTAGTTTGTTATTGAATAATCATCAAATTAGAGGAAACATTGTACGCAACTTGCTAACACCTTTTTTTTTTTTTCTAGAGAAATATGCGCACAGCTCTACATCACTATTGCTATGAACTTTAGAAATGTTTATCACATTAGATTTCACAGATTCATAAAGAAATTTGAAAACGATAAAAAATAGGCGTGTAATAACCCTAGAGACGTGACTACTGGAAAGTTTTCAACATCCTCCTTTTTATACTGTCACTCGAAACATGTAAAATATCAGTCTGAAATTATTGTTTTGAACATACATTGAAATAGTCTACTCTACGTTCCATGAAAGTTTCAAATGTAAGATTTTGAAAACAGACACGTAGCGAGAATGAGAGATGAATGCATTTTTGAAACCTTCAAAAATTCAAGTTTTATGAAAAATAATACTATTATGTATTGAAGAATGTATCAGAAACTTATAATTAGATTTTTTAAATATCATATAACGTAATTTATACACTACGAATAGATAAGTTTTCAAAACGGAGATGACAATAAGAATGGATAATGACGATAAAGTCTTTAAATAGCAGCTTTCTTATTTCTGAGTGCACAGATTGTACGCGTCGAAATAGTATTAAATTTCACTGTCAACTATCTAAAAATAAGCCTAATAAACAGTGTAACAACCAATAAATCTAGACTTTTGTTTAACTTAATTACAATCTCTATAAAGCAAAGAGAAAGCGTTTAATAACAATAATTATTGCGTTAATATTAGATTATTTGAGAATATTTAATTCAATACAACAATCAATACTGCAATATATTTTACTGACTGTTCATACTGCCAAGATCCAGGAAAATATGTGCGTACAAATTCGATCACAGTTATTTCTAATAAAATCAACATAAGATTACCCTTCACATTTCAATTATTTCACTATTTTATTATTGTTCATGTAACTCTATCGCATTCATTTTCTGTTTAAATAAAAATGCTGTTCCTGTCATTCAATATTTGAAAAGTTGTTGCATGTTCCAATTAATCATTTGTGTATTAATCATTTAAACAAAAGTTGTTCAGATATATCAGAACATACATTTAAAAAGTAGGAATAATACAATACGCACAATAACCATAAGTCACTAGCATTTTGCTGATTCTTTGTCGCTTTTTGTACGTTAGTGACAGGTGATCTAGAATAAATCGGTTACGTATTGTGCTGACTTTGTTCAGATTTTGTTTCACCGCTTAGAATTCATTCTGTTTTTAAAAGTTTTATCACAAAACATTTTGTGACAAAAACGAAAGGCCAGTTATTTTTCAAGTTGACGATTTTGCTGAGTTTTTGATATTCTAAGCGAAAACTGAAAAAATTCGAAGGATCTAAGATTTTGAAAAATCCTTCAGTTAGAATTTTTCTTGAAACTGAATGGTTTTTCAAAATGGTCTTATATTTCTTCTCTGATGAAAAATTTTCACATAAAATGAGTATTTCAGAATGTGCTTGGATTTATATTTTATACGATGACTTAATACAATACTGTGGACGCCTACGTCTACGTCTATGTACCGTGCATCCATTCTTCCATATAAAATGGGTGCATTTTTAATGTATAAATGACGACAGACCGGTACATATAAGGTTCTATGAATATTTTGTTTATTTACATCAAGTCTCTTATGTAAATAAATGAATAATACACCAGAAAAGGGTGCTTATTTTAATTAGTCCAAAACTATGGGGTTATATAACTAAAAATTTTTTTATCACGCCCCAGTGTGATATAATTAAAATCACACAGATTCTGGATCTAGGCTGTTCCGTTCATGTATTAGAAAAACATTTTCCATTTTTGTCCTAAACTAGCGGAGAAATTACGGCGTTTTCCGAAATAATTAAGCTTTCGTACAGACATGTCCAGTCAAATGAGTGTCCGTCGTGTCACATACATAAAGAAATGCTCGAACTTTGTCACGTTATTCTTCTGCAAGCAGAGTTTTAATGATGCACACAAAAATGCAGTTTCTTTTTAGACGCGTGGAGAAGGTTTCTAAAAAGCTGTGGTTTTTCAGGTAAAATTCATTTTTCTCAGCCTAGGAACAGTTTTAAGTAAAAATAAGGTCATATTCGGAATCAGCACACGTCGAGTTGCATGAAAGTGTGTAATACAATAAGTTTTGGACCGAATAACTATTCATCGAAATTTTCTCCTAATGAAGACCAATTTTTCGAAAAAAATGAGCTTTTTTGGAAAACGTTTATTTCTTCCTTAAAAACATCAGACATGACTAAGCAATGATAATTATTCATGAAAAAATGGTTTACGAGCAAAAAATTCATATGTTCGCCTGCTACTAGAAAAATGTACACTGTGCTCCCTCCTCTCGCAAACTCCTCGTATTTACATTCCTACTTATTTCACAGAACTATGAAGTTCTGTGTTTTAAACATTTGTCAGGAAACTAAACAAAATTGCAATATATTTATTGCTGCAGAAACTCCATCTATTCTCTTACGAGACCAAATCAGAATTTTATTTTAGAAAATAACTGATTGTCTGCTATAAGAGAGATCTACCTTGTGCTTGTGATAAGTAACGAGAAAAAGATAGGTATCGAGTAGATGGTACTACTTTAACGTAGTAAAACTCTGAAATGAAAGAGACAAACAAGAAGGGTCAGAATTAGTCTAAAATCAACAACAAAAACAACTTCAAGTCAAAAAATCTTCTGAACGAGTATAACAGAAATGAAAGGCATAATGACACTGTCTCCGACAATGCGTACATGTTATTTTACCTCTCTCTAAACAAGGGCTTTTGTTAAACATTACGATGTTTAGATGTCTAAATACTTTTAGTAGAAAAATTATTCAAATCTTGTTAAGATCTTAGATTATCTTACCAACATCTCAGATATAAGATCTTACACGATCGTAGTACTTTATAAGTTTAAGAAGTACCTAAGATTTTTACTAGGATCGCATTTTTAGTAACCTGAACGTGATTACATGTCTAACTGATACGTTCGTTACAGGTGACTATGTATCTTGAGAGTAGTTAGTGCCTCGTGACTCGACGGTGTCTAATTCAGGCATCACAGACAAAAATAAGATGAGTGAGAGGTAAAGAGATGTGTTTTCAAGCCACATAGGTAGCTACCTGGTGTCTACCACAAAAAAAATCCAAATGCACCTTGGATAGCGTCATTAAGAACCATCAGTGCATTCTTTAACCATCATGATGTCTTCCTAAGATACTTTTTATTTACAGTAATAAGAGTAGAGAAAGCATGAAGTTAAAATACAAAGCCACCGATCTATTCTGAAGCATCTACTATGAACAAATATATCAAAATTGCAGCGATGAAAGAAACATCATCCATACTACACTGTTCCTGTTAAAAAAGCTTGATCTAATCGTGGCCTAAAGTAAATGTCTTAATACAATCTTTTGACTTTACTGTAAAAATTTTACACTTTTTAGGATGCAATTTCCTCTTTTCATTGTTTTCTTATCGATATTATCCAAACTGAATTATTCTTTTGACATCCAACAATTATTACCAAGTCGTGAGGTTCTATCAGCAACTGGTTATTGTATTCATGGTCAAATATGTAAAGATTGTGTGAGATGTTGTACCGTCCATTGTTACCTGATGTATCATACAATGGCCTATTTAATTAAAGTGGCTCAACCAACAAAGTGTATTTTTAACTGTTGTATAAGCTGTAAACTCAAGTATTATCAACATTACCCATGGTGGATATATCAGAATGGAACATACTTTGTCTATAATCTACAACAAGGACAATGGCTACGAGTACCACCACCACCTACGAGACACAATGAAACAGACGCTTTTATTAGTAGAAAATCCGATATGGAATTCTTCTCTTTCGATAACTTAACTAAAATTGGTAATAATTCGAAATAGTGACTAAAACATTACAAACCTTTTTTCTAGTTTATATTTATTAAGATAAGTTTAATACGTCTTTACAAGAAGAACATAGAATCTCTCATTTATTCATCTCTTTTCCAAAAGTTAGCTCGTTTTGAGGAGCGACGTTTTTTCCAAAAGTTCGCTCTCTTCCAAAAATTAGCTCGTTTCATTTTATAGTCATCATCCGTAGTATCATCGTCCGAAATTAGTTCTTCTTGATAATCATTGTCAAAATTATTATTCACTGGATCATTAAATGTAATATAACGGAGTAAGTTATCATGCTGAGGTTTTGGATATCGATGTGATGCTAATGGTTGATTTTCGTTGAAATAAACTGCTTCGTATCTTGCAGTTAACGGTAGTGGTTTTTGATCACAGTAGATAGCGTGAACTACCATAATAATTAGAAAAAAAACTAAAAGAAAAGAATAGAACGGATGGTTTCTTAATAAGATAAATTATTCTTTTGACATCATTTCAAAGAACAATGTGAATAGAGATATACAATAAAACAATTCTACTTCCAAAAGTTACATTTATCTATCTTGAGTAGTGTTCCAAAGTTTTGTCATCTATCATTTTTCATTTTTTTAATAACTAACAGAGTACTGCAATTATTGATCAAAGTATCCAACTCCAAAATAGTAATCAACTCTTATAATTCATTGTAGTTTAGATACTCATCATCTTTTTTAGTGTTCTAGCTACACATTTCTTAAACGCAAACAGTGAATTTTTTCTTACTTAATGACGTTTCTTTGTAATCCATGTCGAATGATATTTTAACCCACTGTAAAATTATTTCCACTATAAATAACAAACAACTTTACCGTATTTTACCTGATACTCAGGCAGCTGTTTCTCTATTAATAAAAAAACAGTTTTTAACATCTTATTTTAGATAAATCCTTCATCATTCTCATTCTCAAGTCATAAAAAATTTTCCATCTCATCAACGTATGATACTATTTTTATTATTCACAAAAACGCCGTTAAATTTAGGAATAAAGTCTTTGTTTTTTCTCTATGAGGTTATTATTTATCTACTCTCGAAGTGAAGTGCTTTATTTTGGTTCGTTGATCAATAACACCTACTCTAAAGGAATCATTTTAAGCTTTTAATTTCCGAGAGTAGTGAGCAATATACGAAAAAATTAAGATGAAAAAATAGAAACATTTTATGTATGTACTAAAAAGTAAAATATCAGAAGGATAATGTCGATAGTGAGTGGATCCAAAATAGCTCAGAATTACAAATCATGAATCACTAAAGCAAAAGATCATGACTATGTTCTGCTCACTTTACCTTTCGTATCGAATTAGGCACAATTTTTCCAAACATATTATCGGAACAAAAAAAAATAAAGCTGGTGTTAAGTTGCTGAAAAGTACCTTTTTGCATTCAGCACACTCGATAACTCAGAAGATTTTCTAGTATTGGTGAGAGTTACTTCCGAAAATTTTAGAATAATTTTGAAACAAAATGGCGTCAAAACATTTTCATGGGAAAATAATATTGGTTTGAAAATTTCTCCGAAGTTTTTGAAAGTACCCATCGCCAAAAAGAGAAAAAGTTCGAATTTATCGAGTGTGTTGAATACGAAAAAGCACTTTTCAGTGCTTTTACACTCAATACTGACTTAATTTTTTTTTATGATATGCAACTATCTTACACAAAACTGATGATTTTTTCTTTTACCAGTTGATTACTTTTCAAAAGAAAATTTTCAAACTATTCTTTCCCCTAGACTAAACAGAGAGAAAAATTTTTACTCGTTTTTCTTCGACGTGCCCAGGATTTCGGTAAAGGGTTGGCCAGATGCTTTGTCATACTTTTAAGGAAGACATGGAAAGTTTAGCACGAGGAAATTTCAGCACGAGGAAATTTCAGCACGAGGAAGATCAGCACTAGGAAAGATAAGCGAAAGTATTGATATTTCACAATTGGGAAACAAAAGTCGAAATTATGATTCTTGCAAAATGGCAAAAACAATATATTGTTTATAGTGTATAGTGTATACAATATATATTTATATATCCATTTTCTTTTTCTATTAGCTTCTCTAAGAAGAACCAAAGTGTTGGATGTGAACATTGAAAAACCGAGCCGTTTCGATGATAAGCTTCCGCAACGTTGTTTGTTCTTATAACTGCTTCCGTTGTCCGATGGTACACATTCCAAAAATCAATACTAAACTTGGGCTGTCGTCTTATTAGATTAGGTCGTTTGTACAGGTTTCATTAGGCACCTATGTGGTGCAAATTCAACGATTTGGTTTATTAAACGTTGATATGTTACAGCATTTTGACTGAAATTCTGTTTTGGTTATGTCAGAATAATAATTAGATTAAAATAATTTATTTTATCCTTACATCGAAAGGTTGACAAAGAAGAAAGTAACAAAAAAAAGAATTAAAAAAGATTCAAGGATGGAAAGAGGGCTGGGTTGTTCTCTGTACAAGTACGTTTTCAATACTTCATCAGCTGGACAGAGAAAGAAAACGAAGGGGAATGCGATTCATATCGGTTAATAAAGTAAATAGACAAGAGAAGAATGCTCTAGAAAGATGCATAACTGTTTCTGCATGCAGTATATGAGTGGTAAGAAAAAGGATATGGAATGATTTGATGATCCGGTAGTGGAATGCGAGCAACAGAAAGAAATGAAGCTATCATAGGATAGGAAAGAAAGAAAGAAATGAATTGTCTCTTAAGTATGTTTATCACTTGTGCGTGGAAACATTGCTGAAGTATAGGATGCGAAAGATGAAGAATGTATGATAGTTTTTTATTACGAATGGCAAGGATAAGAGAAATAATGGTGATTTCAATGAGCAAAACAATTAAAAACTGAATAAAAGGAATTGTATCAAAAACTAGCACTAACTGGAAACTAACAGGTTTATTAAACGTTGATATGTTGCAGCATTTTTCCGACGTAATAACGTATAAAGTACGGGGACAACGTGACCACAATATATACCGTGAACAATATATAGCTGATTGAAATTTCCGGAACAACCTAAATAAAAGTGATTATAAAAATACAATGTGCTTTTTGTTTCGTAGTACTTGGCTAATTGATATTGTAGCCATTTTGTGCAAGTAAGAAGTTTATGAGAATAACAGAAATGTTTCCTCATTTATTTATACTACTTCTATGTAGCGCTATCGAGACTGATTCACTTTTAATCCCATTATTAGAGTATTAACCCAAGTTCAATACTTATCTGTCTATCTCGTAATTAGCTTTATATTTGTCAGACATGATCTATACATAATTCTTTACGGAGTTTATAAACAATCATTTGCTTCATATCGTTGTTGGCATTTTACAAGAATCACAATTTCGACTTTTGTTCCCAAATTGCAAGATATCAATACTTTCTAAGAAATTAATCGGTACAGCAGTTGAAAATATATAATGAATTAGATAGTACCATACTGCTACGAAGTACATGATTAGGTTTTATTCAAATCCACAGTAATTCTATCTCAAGCTTTCAACGAGTAACACTCGGCATCATCAGAAGAACAAATAACAAAGAACACAGAAACTACCTGTACCCTTTCTTTCAAGGTTATCTCGCTTATCAAGAATAGCGAGAAAAGAAAAGAGAGTAGCTGAACTAGTTTTAGAAAGATCGTAGTTTTAATACTATATGAAACTTGAAAAGCAAAAGATGATGCATATTGTGTTCTCTAGCTATGATGACTCATCACTGCTCGACGAAAAGATGATGAGTCACCGTGTTTACCACACAATTTGTGTAGCTGTGTGGAGTATAAGAAGGTGGAGTCGTCGATGGAATAAGCATACTTACCTGCCAGAGGAGTGAAGGACGATCATCAATGTTCTTCCCCCAGGTCGAGGGTCCTGCCATTGCACATCGGTGGATCTGAAACTTGCGATAGGCTCTCAAATTGAGGCTTACTCGGCTGGAAAATTTATTCCGCAGGAGATGCGTACGCGCGTCTCCTTTCAAACAAACATGTGAAATCGAAGCTTATGATAGTGCCTTGATAAATGAGCTATACGAGTTCAACATAACAAAAATATATGTCATTCAACTATTATTTCACACAGTGTGATTTTATTAAAACAGTGAAAATTCAATTTTTCAACAAACTTTGAAGTTTGATGCTGAAAATCATTACGAAAACAATGAGTAGATCACAATGTTTCTAGACTAACTGATTCATAAGCGACCAGAGATTAAATTTCATGCTTTCTTTGTTAAATGAAAACTTGCACAGATACAGTAAATTTACGTGAAAAAGTTCAGTTAGATACTTGTTCCCCTTATTTTTATTTTGTATTTTACACATATTCTGGAGCTATACTTTACTTTTGTAGGGCAAATACATACACGGCTACCAAGTTTGTTCAACTCGGTAGAAATATGTCACCTTATTTTATGAGTGTATAACAATTGATATTGTGGTGTTTATATACATACACGATGGTGCCTCTTTGTACCTTAACTTTTCAATTTGTGTTTAGTTATTTTATTCTTGTTGGTAGAGTTCTGTTACCACTGCGAGTGAGAAAGCATCACTGATTTAGCTAGTGTGATTCTTTATCAATTATCACTTGCGTTTGTTATACAAACTGACAGACGAATAAAAGCTTGTTTTTGCCGTTAATTGAAATCATAAGTGGAAAAGGAGCATTATAAGACGACATTTGTGATTGACCAGAATAGAGTAATGTACGATACTATGACAAATCGAGATATGGAGCCGTTATGTTCATTGTTTGTAGAATAAAAACGTATTACTGAACCCGTCACATAAGAAATCTTTCATTAAACTTTGTTATCAATGATAGAATTTCAATGCATTAATGGTATTGGGATAAACCACCTTACATAATAGGAGAACATTGGTGTAATTTTGATAAACTGATTTTTCAAGACCTTGGTTTTAATTATGAATTTGTTGTGAAGTTATTTATTTTATGCCAGGAGACGAAGATCTGCCTACTTTAACGAGTGTGACTTGATTACTGAAATCGCTGCGATTTTCAGTAAACCACTCCGGAATTTGACGAAACAGATAAACAGTAATAGCTTGTAGTACCTGATCGACATCTTGCCTGATCTGAATGATAACTGATATCTAAACTGTAACATTTTCATCAATTAGTTTCCGTAAAAAAGTTCGAGCCCTTTTGAAATCCTTGGCAATTCATGTAGTTAATATTTGATCAATCAATCATTTTTTACTATAGACATCAGCAAAACGAAATAACTCGTGAACCAAGACTTGCTGAATTTGCCGTTGAATTAGCATACAATGTCAGCTTTGGCTAGCGCATAAGTTTCACACACTTCGTTTTCGATTTTTATCTAACAACATCGTAAACCTTTACAGTTCGATATAGAATTTGTGTTCTGTAAAGATAACTTATTTGTCCTTTTTTTGATGTTTATATTTCCCAATCCACGTCGTCAGGATATAATGTTTCAATAGATGAACTTTTTTCAAACTAAAATTTCACAAATTAAGTATTCAAATAAGTCACGGTATTTTTATTGGAATAAAATCAATTACTTTAATAGCGTTTTTGAACATCTTTTAAACCGATCAATGTAGGATAATTCCATCCGTCTTTCGACAAAATTAAAATTTCACAAATTCTCCAGTAGTTATTTCTAATAGAGCATACTCTTCAAAATGAGACATCGCCATGTTCTCTCTCTAGTTTATTGAATTGTAAAATAATACGTAAAATACTTTGAATAAGGTAAATTCCAAAAAGTTATTTGCACTACAATATACAGCACAAAACTCTTCGTTGAAACATAAAAGTGTCATTACGATGTTATCACAGAGAAAAAAAATCGACAACGAGTTGTGGGGGTGGGGGGGATGGAGGGGGAACAGGTTGTTTTTTATTCATGCTAATAGATGCTATCGAAATCTTTTAATATTCTCTAGTATAGGATAGGTTTATCATAGGAGTGCACGAAATTAAAAGATTTATTGTAATAACTATCAGAGACAAGAAACGAAATCAATACTATATTGTATTGATAGAAGAAGAAAGAGTACTACTACATTATAGAGAGTCGTTCTAAGCTACATGGTTGACTCTCAATATATTAATTTAAGGGAAAGGTTGAATAAGATTCAGATCAGATAGAATGAGAAAAATAAACAGAAAAATATCACATTTAGCGTAGGAGAACTGTTTTTGTTTTTTCGATGTCTATTCTAATTCGCCAATTGGAACACTCTTCATCCATAATGAATGCATAAATTCAAATAGAGCATTAGTTACTGATACTTTGTACGGTGTTGGATTTAAATCTCGTTTATGATCTTTTCTCAATGATTCAATTTGTTCTTTTGCATACATTTTAACTTCTTTCAACGTCGGCAATGGTATTTTTATTTGATTATCTGCCCAATAAAGCTTGTATAAGTCTAATACAGACGTTGGATTAACATAGGCACGTCTTTGCTCCGAAAATGGATGACGACTGAGTATACGTTGAGTCTGGACAGGACAGACTTCGTCATGTCTCGTTAATAAATCACAAAGAGCTTTACCATCATGACCAAATAGACGATAAACGTTTTTTCGACCTGGTATTGTCACTTTTTCTATATCTTGACTCACTTTTATACGCGGAGAACCATTTAACTAAAGTTCCAAGAAATACGATGAATATAGTAAACTTAATTGACAAAATATAATTAAAAATGTAACTAATCTTTTCGCTTTCATTCAACTTACCTCAACTAATTTGTAAACACATCCTAATGCTGGTTGTTTTTGACATGTAACCAAATGTGTTCCAACGCCAAATGTATCAATTGAATGGCCTTGTTTTTCTAATGATATTAACGTTTCTAAACAGTAGAAAAAGTAGCAGTACTGTAGATGTTCCGTTCGTTCATAAACAATTGTTTTACCTTCGTTAATGTCATTACTAGCTACAATCATAAAATGTTCCATATAGGGTAAATTAAATTTTTGTGCAACCAGTTGAAATTTTGATCGTACTTCTAAACTTAAATAGGCTAAATCTCCACTATCCAAACGTAAACCAACAGCTTGATATGAACATTCATGTAAAGCACGAGCCACCGCTAAACAAAAATTCAATTTTTAAAAAAAATTTCTACCGAACTTTTTACTATCGTTCTTTTACCTAAGAAATTGGGAACGCCTGATTTAAGTACATCGTATGTGTCAACTAATGCTAAAAAATTTGACGGGAATGCAATCGCATATGAGATAAATGCTGCTAATTCGCCATGATTTACTTCTTCTGGCATAAATTTTAGTACCGGACCAATTTCGTCTAAATATTGTAAACATAACTTTGTAAATGGACGTTTTTCACCCGTTCTACGATCACATAAATCACGTTCTGATAAATCATTAATAGCTGAATATGAATTAACATAGGCATGAGCATGAGTGCCTTTAATTGGTATACCATACAATTTTCCTGCTAAAACATTTGATGTTCCATCAAAACCACCGATATAACAATATCTCGATGCACTCAAACCACCATCAGGTCCTTGTGCTCGTCTTAAACCAAATTCTAATAATGTTTTATCGGCACCGGTTGCTGACCGAAATCGAGCGGCATTTGTAGCCACTAAACTAGCATAATTAATCAATGTTAAGAAAGTTGTTTCCAATAATTGTGTTTTTAATATTGGACCTTCAACACGTAACAGTGGAATACGCGGAAATACAACCGTACCTAAAATAAATCAAGAAAACTTACTTTTAATAAATAATAAAAAGAGAAAATAACTTTTACCACTATAGATTATATAAAATGTACACTTGAATTTTTTCCTATTTACCTTCAGGTACTGCATATATTTTAATATCATCCATAACCAATTGGCTCAGATATGCAAAAAATTCTTTTTCAACATATTGTGGTAATATTGTTTTTAAATAGTCGATATCTGTGGAATGAAATTTATAATCTCTTACAAATTTCAGACATTCTTCTAAACCGGCAAATAATGTGTATTCACCACCAAATGGATTTTTACGAAAATATAAATCAAATACAGCTATATCTTGATATTTGTTGCCTTTCCAATAGGCATATGCCATAGAAATTTGATACAAGTCGGTAAGAAGCGGTTGAACAACCGACGATTGCTGACTAGACGACATTAGATATATGGGTGTTTGAGGTGGTGATGCTGAACTAAGACTTTCGGTTTGCCCTTCAGTGGTTGATGATGGCTCGTCCGGTGATGAATTTGTTAAGTCAATCCTAAAAATGGAAATCAACTAGATAAGATGACGCTAATACAAACTTTCATCGACAATCTTGTGACTTTTCTTACAGCTTTATAGGCATATAATGGAGTAGTCAACAGATACTGATAGATTCTCTTGCTTCAAGATGATCTGGTGTAAGACTTTAACGTAAATGAATGTAAGTTTAGTAGCGAGATTTAACTTCTCTGGTTCTCGCTGTCATTCATATGCTGTCACTACGAAATCGTAGCGTGATCGATCAGTCTGAAGCTTTGTACGGTTTTCAAAATGGATCTAGCTTCTGAGTTTTCTACAAGAATAGTGGTAATTAGATCATTTAGTATGCATAGTCTATGTGCCATCCAAGTCCCATGTTTCTTGTACGTATGAATAGATTCACGGTAACTAGTTCATCTCAGCAGTATTGACTGCCGTAAATTGACTAGAGTGGAAATGATAATTTAAAACAAGCTCGAAAAGAAAAAGTTATTCTGTAGAGAAGGTTTCTAAATAAACTGAACCTAAGTGCGTTTCCTGTTCGGAGGTTGAGGTTTCAAATCCGATTCCAATAAATGGTTCAGAGTATGTTCGCATCGAGTCTTGCTATAAACCGAACTGTTAAAGTGTAATAGGAATGAGATTTTTTATCATTTTATTAGGTGCCTGTTATTTTGAATATCCTATTTCATTACAAACGGGATATGTATGGATGAAAGAGAAATATTTTAGTTTTAGAAGTATGAGTGATGATGACATCAACAAAATGTCAGAAGCTACATAGGCTAGTTTAAAAGATTTATTAAATGATTGTAGTAAAACAACAATAGTAATAATATCTGATTCTTTACTTTCTCAATATCGAAATAAAACAACAGTATATATCATGCTCAGACTGAAAGTATTAATATGAAATGGATCTTTTTTGGACGCCGATCATGGATATTGAAAATAGATTAAGAGATATTATATTATATATTTATGATAAATCTGATATAGATGAAATTAAAGAATTAATTCCAATATTAAAAACAATGAACAGAACATCAAGAATTCATGAAATTATAGCTACACAAAATGGAATGATTGATAGTAAAGATTTATCTAGTGAACAAGAACGCGTATCAAAATTAAAATTTTTAAACCGTAAACAGAATTAAATACGTCAATTGAACAGCATTGATACAAACAAACTGTGATTGTATTTTCTCTACATTTTTGTTGTTGTAGTATTATTTGAAATAAAGCTAGAAAACGACCATTGCTCTTTTTTCAATCCATATTCGAATTTACTTTTCAGACTGATGAGTAACGCGGAAAAACTGATTATATCTGAAGAAAAAGGGTTTTTTCACATTAAATAGATGCATATGATCTACGTCAAGCCTGTTTTATATTCCAGTACATACGCCTCGTCGACTTCTATCGCGTTATGTATCACGCTCATACTTTTATTTAAGTGATAGTGTGTTTTTTCTCAAAAATCTCCAGGATTCGATTAATCTTAGAAAATGCTCTAGTTTTCTACAACTACCTATCCAACAGTTGGAAAAATATGATATTCATAGATAATCGATCGATCTCTATTGAATATATGACTCACACTTTTTTATTCGCAACTTTCTTCTTGCAATTTTTTTCCTCAAACGGTACAATGGCTATGCAGTTGACTCATTCAAATACAATTAATACACGAATAATGCGTATATTATCTTTTATTCAATAGTAATTGTGTGTAACCATACACAACGACCTTACTTAAGTTTCCTGATGCACATAAAAGATGATATGCGCAGGTCAGCTGTACTAATACGTATCACTCCCTGGGAAATTTGAAGAAAAGAACAGATTTTTTAACGCCTCCGTAATGTCTTCCAATATTGTCCAATTACGCATTGATTGCAGTTCAAATAGTCATTTATTATCTGTTTCCTAATGTTAAGAATCTGTAGTATCGCACTATGAACATACATCGAGGTTTCTAGCGGAATCAAAAATCAAAAAAAGTGCTGAAGACATTCGTACGAGCTTAGTTCTTAAAATTTTTAAAAATCGAGCCTAAAGTCCATTTGAACTAGACTGGTCTTGATTCAGTTCATGATAAACTTTTGCATATCTATTTTTTTCTATACTCTCTTCTCGCGGTTCTTATCTTTTCTGCGTGGTGGCACTGCATTTACAAGCCTTTGGTTTTTTTTGCTTTCCTTTGTTACGAGATGTTTTCTTGGACATAAAATAAAATTTCAAGTTTCAAGTTCAAGCATATGTTAAAAAGATTTTTCTCAGCTCCATTTACGTTAGAAAACAACATTTACACAGTGAAGTCCGTATGTTCGCCAAGGTCATCATTAAGTTGTCCCCTAAGACATTAATATAGAACATTTTAACTATAGATTGATAACTTACATCTTGTACTATTGATCGTTTAATAATAAAAATAAGTATCAAATAATATGTTAACGAGTTAGAACGATAAGGTCATATTTCTGATTTATAGACAAAATACACATATTAGGGTGTTAGATTGACACTTATCCACATGTATTTGTTACGCTAGCGTTGTCTTTTTGAAAAAAATAAGCATCGTAAGTTTACAGGTGTGTAGTTATATTTACTTTTATGTCTCACTCAAAACGGTAAAAAGCTAATCACTTTTATGGTGACATTATCTGCTACTGCGTCACACATCGAGAATCTTAAAACAGCAAAAAGTGAAAGATCTAGACATATTGAATGCCTGGAATCGAGTAAAAAGGATATGATTAGTATAAATTCACATTATTCATATTATTTGGGAAAAAAAATAAGATGTAAACAGATGATTAATATTATTAATCTTCTTACCTTAGTTCAACTACCATGTTAACCTATTTTTTAACGAAATAGAGTGTTTACTTCTTGCCATAGGTTTTATTCTCTCTACATTATTCTCTTTTAATAACGGAAACAAAAGAAAATAATTCTTTTACCTTTTTGACAACTCCCATGTGTTTTCAATATTATTAATATAATTATACATGATGTTTTTCAAAAAAAATAAACGTAGTAGTCTACCGACGTTGTTTATTTGCTTTATATATATATATATATATCTACCATTATATTAACTCACTACCTGATATACAAATAAAGACTTGTTCGGTTTTGTCCCGGCACATAATAACAAAAAAAATGATTCTTTAATATCATTAAGTAAACGGATGACTTACACAATAGTTGTGCAATTATTACTATATAGTACTAATCTACATAATAATTAAAAAATAATTTCTAATTGATAAAATCTAGTGTATGAGAGTTTAGTCACTTTGAGTAAACAATAACCTCGAATTTAAGCAATAAAATTCTTGCTTTTTTTATTAGTCGCCGCCTTTTTGCCAGACAATATCGGTACATAGAGACTACAATGATCACATATATTCTGAGAAAAAAGTGTATGAAAAATATAAATTATTATCAAAAGATATTATAAATAGTCTAAAAATTCAATGATTTAGTCAAATTAGTTAAAGTGCAATAATAAACATTTGTAGACTGTCTCTCTCTCTCTCTCTTTCTCTCTTCTGACTAATGATTTATCGCACGTTTAACATAACGTACATATTCCTAGACGAATGAATACCATCACATCACATCATTATTAATTCACACGTTATACCAACCATCTGTTTTCTATATGTTCAATAAAACAAAAACTGATGTAATTTTTAACATCTTCAACTCTTTACTATGCATAGGTTACACTGTATACATGGAAAAAAAACTTACTTGACAGTTTCCACTTAATAAATATAAAAAAAAACTTTTTTTTTTCTCTATATTAGAATTACCCATTTTATTCTTTTTTTACTCTCTATTTGTTTTTCTTACTTTTTATCGTTGTCGATGTTACCAGTAATCGTGCTATTTTTGTTCGTTCGGTGGTCGAGAATAATGTCGTCGTTCCCGTTTTGAATAAATTTTTTTTTAGCGTTTAAAATTTCTGTTGATGATAATGATTTATTGTTCCATTGTTCAGCACTACGTTTATTATGATTTGATAAATTTTTTTCTTCTACTATTTCATCGTTGTTTAAAGTTAATGGAAATGATGAAGCTGCCAAGGAAGTAATCGGTAATGTTGTCGTCGACAACGATTGTTCAGTGAAACAGGTTTGTCCTAAATAAAAAATAAAAATAAAAAAGTAGAAAAAAAAAAATAATAAAAATCAATTTTTAAAAAATAAAAAGAGTGGAAAAAAAAGAAGTGAGTGCATATTTTTTCCAAGCAACTAAAAGGAAAGTGTATCGGTGAACAATTTCATGCTATTAACAAGGATAAGTACAGGAACAAATCAATTACACTTTGTATCGAACTCAGTAAATAACAGTGACTGAATTTCACACGACTATTAAGAAATAACAAACGATTATTATTTTTTGCGTTGTTAACTTCAAAACATAACCCAAACAGTGATGGGAGAAAGAAGATGTGTGAAAGGCAAAAGTAGAAAATATCATTTTCTTTATAGATTCTACTGACTTTAAAAAGTATTATTTTTGTTAAATTGTCAAACAGTTTACTTAAAAAGACATAGAACTTTGTCTTCTTGTATTTCACAATACTTTCCTAATAGTCACTTTCGTTATGAAATATTTATATCTTAAACATTTAGAAAAGAACCAAATGAATAAGCTCTATTCAATTTGAATGTTTTCTAATAAACTTACAGAATGTCACTATGATGCAAAGTTAGAAGAAAATCTACTCCAAAATTTGTGTCTTAGAATTAAATAAAACAAATATTTAAAAGATGAAAATTTTCAGAAGTTAAAAAAAGGCTAATCGTTATCGAGAATAAAAAAGTTCATAGAAAAACTAGTTTCTAATCTAAAAAAATCATGCATGATAATTTAAATTCGATAATTATTAGTGACATAAATTGTTTCATAGACGAGAGAATTGTTGTTAAATATGGATTAGAAAGCATAAAAAGTGTAAATATCATGTTTAAAAACTGAATGATTTGTTTGCAAATTATGACTATAACTTTTAGTTATAAATACTTGTTTTCTATAGTCTTTTTATCCTGAGAGTAAGAAAGAAACTTAACAAATAAATTACTTACCTGGACAACATTAGTTTCGAACAAAATATTATAAACATGCATTGTAAATATGTAGTTACTATAGAGAGAGAAAGAGATTAAAACGAATGCATAAATTATTAAGAAATTTATTTAATTAGTCTACAAGAGTCTTAACAGAAGTTCAAAAAAATAAACAAAAAAAGAACAGTAGACTGACTTTATCAAGGTGTATTTAGTATGAGAGCATCGCTAGTTTGCTCACATGTGAGGATTGATCACAGTAAACAATTTTCAGAAATTACCGTATATGAAATATGTTAACCTATTTTTGTCTATTGCAGTTTTTATTGATATTTTTAGAACAAACTACCCGTGAAATTAGAGAAAATGCTTTGAAATATGATCTTCATTTATCAGTTATGCTCTCTTTCTTGCACAATCCATTGATCTTAGAATAATGAGGAACTATTAACACTTAAGGATGTCTATTCATTATGAAAAAAGATCCGTGAGAAGTGTCGCCCAAAAATTTATAATTTTCATTTCATAGAAATAGCAACAATCAAAAGGATTTAACATTTTACCATAAGGTAGACTATCTCAAACTTCTTGATGAGTTAAAAAAAATAATTATGAGTAACGATGATGTATATAGCTTAATCAAGTTCGTTCAGTCTAATGAATATGCCCAGACGCATGTATGACACATGGCTATACATGTATATCTTTCTTGTTTGCTTAAAAAGGCAGTTTTATAACATTATCTTGATTTCGTTTTATACATCGCATACTATTTTCAATCGTGCACATATTATCTGGAGGAAAAAGAAAAAAATAGTATCATAAAAGAACATTTTTTATTCTTAATCTCGATGCCCTATAGTGAACTGTTAGATAACGGTTGTTCCAAAATATGTGGAATGAAATGAAAAAAAGAGTCAAACACGAATCGAATATTTCATACGACGCTGTAAAACTGCTCTTTGAAAAGAAAAGAGGTGCTCTCTCAAGAATAATGACATTGCTGTTAATGAAAATGCCATCACGATGAACGGCATTTTTTGGCAGAAACTCCTTCACTAGATTCAAAAAAGTAGAACAAAAAATTTTGTTTATGTGTAATCAGTAGGCATTTCACTGTATAATCTACAGTGCGGATGAAATTTTTAGATTTCAAGTTCGACTCGAACACAGTTGATCGTTTTCCTATCGGAAACATGTCAGAGTATTGACTTGGACAAAGTCCATCATTTAATTTCGCAAAATTTTACCATCAACATTTTTATGTATGTGATGTCTCACTGAAATTCTTAAATTCTTCTTTCTTCACAGCGTTTTCGTTACAGATTTTAGAAAGGAGGATAAGTTTTACTGAGTAAAAGACATAATTTTGTGGTTATTTTGATCTCTTAAACTCGACTTGTTTGATACTAATAGATATGTTTTACAACCGCCTGTTCGTCACAGAAAAGCCCAAGCCTTCGAAACTTGGGCTGGTTCTTACTACGCGCGCAGCCCTCGAGACCGCCTTTCTGTAACTTTTCACTCAACTCATGTTGAGATTACGTAGAACATCACCGAAATAAAACGGTGATAACATTCTAACGTATCTAGAGAAAGACAAACATATTGTCACAATTCTCTATGAATCACGCGAGTTTATTGCGGTTAAAGGAAGAAAAATCATTTTGATTTTTTAAACTCGACTTGTTTGATACTAAAAGATATGCTTTACAACCGCCTATTCGTTACAGAAAAGCCCAAACCTTGGAAACTTGGACTGGTTCTTACTGCGCGCGCAGTCCTAATAATTTTGTGAGCAACTGTGTTTTTACTAATTAGTCAGTATGTTACTCAGATGAGTAAATATGTATCTGATAGAGTTGTTTTGCGGAGTATGACTATATTTTTAGTTATATATACTTGTCTGCTATAGTTTTTTATCCTGATAATAAGAAAGAAACTTAACTTTTTTCTAAGGTAATTCAAATTTTGGATTTTCTTTTAACAATCAAAAATATATGTGTGTAAGGATATTTGCCTTTCGGAATATGCCAAAAAAAACGACAAGAGCTGGACCAGGCCGAAATGGAGATTTTTCGAAAGAATCGGACTCAAACTTGAGTTTTATACGCATCAAGTTCGATCTATTAAAGTTTTTCTTTTTTCCAACTTTTTTTTTGTTGTTGTTCTGAGTTCAGATGTGAGCCATGTTTACATGTATCATACAATTCGATGATAGTCCAGGCTACACTCACTGGTTTAATATCGAGAACATCTAAATATTGTTATTAGTACCGCACTTTGTTTTGAATGAATATTAATAGTTTGCAACGCTATAGATACACGAAAAGTAGAAATTATCAAAGTTATTATTGGATAAGAGTAGTAAAAACAAACAAATTAAGATATATGGTTATTATGTATGTGTATAAGAAGAAAATCTAAAACGTTATCGGACTCGGTTTTTTTGTTTTTTAATTCGTCCGTATAACGGTCGTATTTTCTTTTATAATAGTATGCACAAAAAAAGATCATTGTAATAAATCAAAATTACATTTCAACAACTTCTTGAGACGTGCTTTTGGAGTTGTTTTTTTATTGAATTTCGTTTCTTTAACTTCACCTCGAGACGCAGAAGAAAAAAGCTGCCATGACACAATAAGATACTTGAGCGAAACTAGAGGTAGATTATATTTGTTAACTTATAAAAAGATTGCTGTTCTGAGAACTAAGATTATCATAAAATGAGTAGATTTTTCTCGTTTTTCACTCTTTCGAACCAACAATATGATCACAACATTTCTTTTCCTTCTGTGTGGTACATGTGCAGCGAGCTGTGAGGTGTATGTGATGTTATTATATACTGAGAATTTTTTTCGTATGATTTTCGTGAATGATAAAATTCAAGAATTTTTTTCGTATATGAACGGTCCGTATATGAAAAACATTTTCTCGCCCACGCGTGTATATTATGTTGTCCTTTCTGTAGCATGTCTCTAACTGTCTATATTTCATTCACAAAAAACTCAAATTTTCGTACCATTTTGTTGCTCAAAAAATTTAAAATATCTTTTTGAGAAGCCCGTGGCCGTCGAAGAGAAGCAGTTGCCCGTCCATGCCCATCCGTGTATCTTTCAAGCCTGTTCGTGCCTGTCCATGGCTTTTTCGAGCCTACCTATGCCCGTGCAGATCTCTACTCTGTACTTATTTTCATAAGTTCACTTCCCTAACTTATGATTTTCTCGGACTCTTTCACTTAATAGTTTTCGTTCTGTTTTCTTTCTTTCTATTTACAGTCGATTACAACTACTCGTCTCAAAACATTGAATTTATTACGTCTACTCAATTCATAAAAGAATAAAGGTATAAATATTCATATAATTAATTCGACTGCATCGTTATTTTGTCCCCATCGATCAACAAACAGGGCTACAGTTTAAAGTATTATTATCGTCATGACATAGACTTCTAGTAATAAAAAATCTCCGTTCCTTGGAAAGCTGAAAGTGCCAAAAACACTGCAGAGAATAAGACAAATATCCTTACATGTATTTTTGATTGACGAGAATGATTTTTTCATATAATTATACAATTAAATACTAAAACAGCTCAAAAACACAGCCATACTTCTCAAAACAAATCTTTCAGTTTTAAATGTGATATTTCTGATCAAAATAGTTAAATGACTATACTACATTATATTTGCTAGAAATATAGAGAATCAGCGATTTCGATTGGGGAGAGGGAAATCTTCTTTATCTAGAAAAATTTTTAGTTACTCACTAAATTTTTGGAGCAGTATTAACATATTTACTCATCTGAGTAACATGCTTACTAACCAGTAAAAACACAGTTGTTCACAAAACTACTGTTTTTACTTAATAAGACTTATCCCTTTCCTAGAATCTGTGTCGAAATGGTTTCGATCAGAAACGATCAATTTTTGAACAGATTAACGTTCAATCTCGAGTGATTTTGTTTTAATCAACTTCTATCAATGGAAAGAAATTTAAAAAGCATTTAAAATAATTGAAAATCGATGTATTGCATTTGGTTACACCTGATTGATACATCCATAGACTTTCATATAAACGCACAGATCGTCCATGTCAAGCCAAATGTAGAGAGAAATCATATATCTGCAATGATTTATTAATAAAAATGTCAATATTGTCATATACTTTTTGCTTTGTAATAATTTCTTTCTTTCACGATTCTAAGCATCGTATTTTGCTAGTCACAGAACAAGATAGAAATGGTTGATTTGTCTAATACTTATATAGCTTATGGAAAAATACAAACAAAACCTACAAAGACTACTAAATGAAGCCATGTATATACATATCATGAAATAAGAGACCTCTCTCTTACCGTTATCTGTTAGTGTTGATGAAGATGCCATTATGTTACTCACTAAATTACACTGTTAACGACACATTTAAAATAAAAAAATAGTTATAAAAATAAATAAAACAAACAAGCAAATCAAATTAAAATGAAAAATTGGGTTCTATTAATATCTATCTAAACAGAAAAATGAAATTATACAATACAAATAACTTTCTTTTGTTGACAAGAAAGAAGCCAGAAGATTGTCGAGTGAATATACGCAGATGCTCATTCTAGCGATTGGTTAATTTCTTTAGCTGTTTTTTTCGCCTTTCTAATTAGGAAAATGTTCACTTGACAAACTATTATAAGCATGCGACAAATGTAAAACAGTTCATATGGGTCTAGAGCACTAATTTTTAAATAAATACGGTTAAATATTGTCAACAATAATCATGTTACAAATATTTCTTAAAGTTTTTTTTGATGATAAAGTGTCGATGTGGAAATACAGTAATAAGGTGTATTAATCCTAGGAAACAGAGCAGTATAATCAAAAGATTAGATCAGAAATGTGCATTTATTTTTTAACAACGAGAGTGTACAAAAACAACAGTAATAAAAAAAAACTTAAATGAATATTTTGAGTTAATAATCACCACCGCCTCCTTCTCCTTCGCTATCATCATTTTCTAAATCGTCGTCACCTGTATCATAATTTCTAATGTAATCATCAGCCTAAAAAATACATTTCATAAATTTGTCAACTGATTATTGAGAAAACAATTACTATCAATAGACTGTCTGATTCTATTGATCAAACAATTCATTAGATACCATTCGTATGATAGAAAGTGAATCTTGTATCAAACATGTTTTTAGAAAATAGTCATAAGAAAAGAAAGAAAGGAAAATATTCGTGTTATCGTACAAGATATAGCAGTGCTTTTACATTCGATATTCTCAAATCTTACTTCATCACTAGCCATATCTTCTTCCATTTGTTCGTCATCAACAGCTTCTACTTCATTTTCATTATCGGTCAATTTTTTTTTATTTTCTGACTGAGCTTTTGCTTTTTTTTCATCTTCATCGTCAATATCTGCATCGTTTATTGTACCATCATCATCCACTATTTTTTCATCGGTTTGATCTTCAGCCTCTTCATTCTCTACTTCTTCGACGTCGTCTCCATACTAAAAGAAAGTCTGATAAAAAGAAAAGCAAACTCTTAAATATATCACGAAACTCACTTTATTTAGATCAACAATATCATCATCAATCATATTGCGAACGATTTTCTTTGTCTTCTTGGTTACGCTTGGTTTAATAATACGTTGTGGCTGCGTTTTCTTAGCGTCTCTTAAAGCTGTCCGGCATGCCTTTCGCAATTCTCGCGGCAATAACGACCATTCTAAACGTGAACTAATAAAACTACTAGTAATATGCTATATTAAGGAAAATATATGTGTTTTTTGAGAAAGTTTTGAAAAAAATGCAGCGCAACTCTATGTAATGTTTTGTTCAAACCTTCAAAGTCTAACACTATCTTTTCATAAGAACACTTTTTCGTATTTTTCTTGTAGTTATCAAGATAAGTTTCTGACGAGGAAGGAGGCTAGCATACAAAATATTTAGTGTAAAATACTGTCTCTTCTTATCCTGTAGAAATCAATGCATCCTGTTCTGATCTAAAATTCTCATTGTGGTTTTCTACTTTTAATCATGTTTAATCAAAACTAATAGTGAGCGACTTGCTTTTTTCTCCTAACCGCCTGAATGAAAGATACACTCGATTGTCGCACCATGATTCCAGGTTTTCAGCACATTTGTTGCTGATAATTGTATTTCTTCTTCGTGAAAATGTTCTCGTAATTTCAATATATAATCATAGAATGAATTTTGAGTTAACGTATGGGGACCACGACCTAAGTCCTATGAAATAAATAAACATAGACAAAAACAAATTTATAATATATCATATTCAAAAAATCAAATGATCTTACAGGAAAAACTGGAGGTGGTTCAGTAACAGCTAACGGTAAACTATCTTTGGGTAATTTTAATGTGTCGATTGTAAATGAGGTATGACCTCGTCCGTACGCCATATTTTAATACTTATACTAGTCTAAAAGTACAAAAATAGTTTGAAAAGAGCGTCGTTGCAGTTCCTATATATTATCTGTACCTCACAATCTTTTTATTGATGGACACAATTTCATAATCAACTTGTGTCGAAAAAAAAATCTCAATCTACAATTTTTTTATCATTCAGCATGATTCGAGTGATTGAAAAAAGATAAAATGTTTTTGATTACTGTCACACTGTTGTATAAAGTTTCCGCAGACTACTTACTAATCTTTGAGATGCAGTAGGCAAATATTAAAAGATAGTTTCGGTAGATAGCTTCGAACCAATATCATGAGCCGTTAGATAAAACTAGTAACAAGTTTTGACACAATTAATGGCAAAATATCAACAAAAACAATTTCCGAAAAAATACAAAGCATCTTAGTTGGTAAAAAACAACCTATTTTTATTGGTTTTACATTACATCATAGGCTTAGGTAACTTAGAATGAAAATGAGTCATTAGCTTGAGCAGTCAGTTCATCAGATAGTTTATTTTGACTAATCTCACAGAAGAAAGAAGAAAGGTTAATACCACACCTTGAATAAATGTCATCGATCAAAATAAAATCCATCGCGAATTTATGGTCCTATGAACATGGATCATGTTATCATTTATATTGTGTACATTTTTAAAAAATGAAAAAAATATTTGCATTCGAAAGAGAAAAACATTTTGGTCCGGTGTAACTGATTTTATTTGCTTAACATAACTTTTCTCTTAAAATCAAGTAATCGAAAAAACACCGTTATAGATGTCACTCGTTATTCGTTATACACCGACATATCACCGACAAAAAATTAAAGTTCATTTAGAATTAAAGCAAAGTGCTTTTTCGTATTCAGCACATTTGATAACCTGGAATATTTTCTATTTTTAGCGAGGGCTACCGCCAAAAAGTTAAGAAAAATTTTCAAAATTGTATAATTTTGCCATGGAGATTTTTCTGCGTCACTTTGTTTGAAAGTTTTTCTTAACTTTTTGGCAGTACCCCTCGCTAAAAATGGAAAATTTTCCAGGTTATCAAGTGTGCTAAATACGAAAAAGCACTTTTCTTTAACTCTAAATGAACTTTAATTTTTTTTATCGGTGATATGATGTATTTTTTATTGCTATTGCCTCTTCTCGAATATATTATGAAAAAATGAGTGTATAGTAAAAGAATCATTACTATCACCAAGTCTCTGACGAAGATTAAATAATATTCCTTTAGTCAATAGATATCCGGCAATACCGGATACGCTAAAGCCTGTAAAAGTACTTTCATGATAATGAAAGCAATGTTAGTATACATTTTTTATTACCATTAAAATGAGAATGAAATAACCCATGTGATCGAAATCGGAAAAAATCGGCTGATTAATTATAGTTAATCAACCATTTTTTCACGCTTTTGATGACCTGGAAATAGATCAAATAGTTTCTGTCCATCCAAAACAATGATACAAAAGAAATGCAAAATACTTGACTGCGTGTCACAATATTAGTAAAAAAACGTGAGTATGCTTCGGAAATATCTTTTATTGAACAGTCAAATGTTTTCAAGCAATGCGTAACGATAGCTATCAGCTTTTAATACAGTGGCCCCCCTTATGCTTTCTTCTACAGCATTGTTTGCACATTTGTATTATATGTTAAAGCATTGCTAGATAACATTATTTTCTATTCATGCACTGCTGCACTATTCTTATTGTGTATTGAAGCAGTGCTTGACCATTTATTTCGTGTCCTAAATTAACACCTATTGTATTTTCAACCACTAATCGGTATTATCTGGAAGTTTTCCGCTACATATCACCGAAACAAAAAAACGTAGAGTTGGTGCTGAGTTAATGAAAAGTGCGTTTTCGTATTCAGCACACTTGATAACCCTGAAGATCTTCTATTTTTGGTGAGAGATACTGCCAAAAGTTTAAGACCAATTCTGAAACAAAATGGCGCAAAAACTTTTCATGGGAAAATAATATTAGTTTGAAAATTTTTCCTAAACTTTTGAAAGTACCCCTCGCCAAAAAGTGAAAATGTTCGGGTTTATCCAGTGTGTTGAATACGAAATGACACTTTTCAGCAACTCAAAACCAACTTTACTTTTTCCGAGGCTCTGTTTTAAGTTAAGAGTTAAACCTGTCTCAATGGTCCATGTCGAATTCAGTATGTTAAAATTTGTATGAACCAAAAAATGATCATAATCTTCATTTTTATTGAAAATAGTATAAGATACAGCTGATCTAACGCTTTGTGACAAGAATAGCATAAAAAAAGTAGGATATAAATAAATAAACAACAATTCTTGCTCAATTATCTCGACCAACGTAGACAAAATCGACACAAGGCTCTCGCCATATCTAGAACAATATTGTGAAATGAATTTCGAGCGTGAATACTCTTCTGTTACTCAACTTTACGGTTTATTGCGCTCTCTATCATGCCACTTTTTATACACTCTCAGCTCTTTGTATACTCAGTTATACAGGGTGTTCCAAAAGTCACTAACCAATAAAAAGTTTTAATAGCTCCGGAAAGCGGATAAATTGCGGACAGCGGACACTTTGCGGAAAAAATTACAGAAAGCGGAATTTAACGGATGTTGCAAAAGTTCCTGGAAAAAATGTCTCATCATTTTTCTTGTAATAAAACATGTTTTGGAAAAATAGCTATTCAGAACCTAAGTTTCAAGAGCTTTCTAACTGTATGTTCAAAACATTTCTATCACTTGTGATCTTCGAGCAGTAAGTGCATCTTTGAAAGGCACTAACTTGTAGCCTGTAACGAAAAGAAATTTGTATGTCTTTTTGATTTCAACAGTAACACCATTAAAATAAGAGCTCAAACTATGATTTTCCGGGAACTTTTGCAAAACCCGTTATCCGCAAAATGCGAACCATCTGGCAACTCTGGTTTATAGGCTGTCATATTGGTTTTAATAGTAAATATCCACATGCCTAGCCAAATTTCCCAATGTTGTCCTCGTGCTGTTAGTAGCCATCTCCACCGTATGACCCTCATTATATACACATTTTAAATTTATAGAATACTATTGGTGAAATTTTTAGACAAATCAAAATTTTCACGTCGTTCTGTTTCTGTTGTTTCGTTGATTGCGTTCTATAATGCTTATATGTTACGTTGCATTTTCCCAAATGTTTTGTTTTGTTTCTTTGTCCATTTGTTTGATTCACAGCTGTTTTGGTAAGATCTCAGTGGAATCGTTTTTCAGCCATGTAAACCATTGCACCTGTTCAGATACATGTTGAAAAAAGGAATGCTTTGAAGCTGAAATAAAATTTCTTAAATGAGAAAATCAAAACTTTTCAATTTTTAGTAGATGAAATCAAATATGTTTCTCTCTTCTATTAAACGAGAATAATAGAAACGGTATTAGAAGAAAGTATTTTGCTGAGAGATAATAAGAACAAGATACAAATACGAAAAATTTGACTATTTGGTCTCTCTATGTGATGCCACCAAAAAATAAATTGCTAGACTATGAAAAGTAATGACGATTTTTATGGGCAACAAGATCCATTAGTTCGTCGCAAGAAAATATAAATACTTTTACAGACTCTAGATGACAATACTAAACAGATAGAAAATCTAATATAAGTACGCTAGTCATCGTAATAGAAAAGTATTGTGAACAAAGTAACGATGTTTGCCGTAGTCGTCCTAGTTTGAATCTAGTATAGTTCAACTTCTTCATTATGGCTCACGTTCAAGAGGTGCGAAACTTCTTCCAAATTGTCAGCGTGATTCTTGAGTTAGGATTTTGGTCCATCTTACTTTCTAAGGAGAATCATAAATTATGATTTCAATTTTATTTCTTTATTTTTTTTTATTGACGATCACATTAATTAATTTCTCTTATTGTAAAGCAAATGTCGTTTAAATCAAATTCGGCTATTCAACGGTTACAGCAAGAATATCGTCGTTTAAACAAAGATCCAATTCCATATATTACAGCTCAACCTTTACCATCGAATCTTCTTGAATGGAGATATGTGGTTAAAGGGCCACAGGGTAAGTGATGGATTTCTTTGTTAAAATAATATAAAATAATCATTTCTATTTTGATTTAGGAACTCCATATGAAAATGGTATTTATCAAGGCAAAATAGTATTTCCATTTGAATATCCTTATAAACCACCCTCATTGTACATGTTAACACCCAATGGAAGATTTAAAACAAATTCAAGACTTTGTTTATCAATCACAGATTTTCATCCAGATACATGGAATCCATCTTGGTGTGTAGTTTATGCATCTTAGCACTTCTGCTTAGTTTTACAATAAATTTTTATCGTACACAAGGCACAATTGACGAAAGAGCAACCTCCTACTTTCTAATTTCTTACTCTGAATTCGAGAGTACACAGACCATACGTGACTTCAACTATTGAGAAAACAGAGTTTCTTCAAAATTTATCTGTCCATCTTCTCTCACGAAAGTCTTACGACGCTACTAATCGTAGGTATGTGCACTGTTCAAATTAAAAGTTTATTTCACTATTGGAAACTAGAATCTTCTTCCCTTGGAGACTTTCTAGTTATATATGCAACTGAGTCAACCTGATAAAGTAAGACAATAGTGGATTGCAGTTTTAAATAAGATCACACTTCAATTAGTTTGATCACTCGTAGCTTTCGTTTAAACATAAGTAAACTGATCGTAAACATGTTGACGCATTCTTTATCACATTTATTTCTCTGTTTAGGTCAATATCATCGATCTTGAATGGTTTATGTAGTTTTATGTGTGATACATCGTCTACATTTGGTAGCATTGATACAACCGATTCTCAAAAACGGAAATTTGCCATCGATAGTTTATCATTTAATGTTCAGGATAAAGTATTTCGTGATCTATTTCCAGAACTTACAGAAGAAATACAAGCGTTATTAGCTGAACGTCAAAAAAATCAAAAAAATATCTTGCAACCACAACCACAAATAAGAGAAGAAGGAGCTGGATCATCACAATCATCATGGCTCAATAGTATAATTGGAAATTTACTTGTTATTGCTGGATTAGCGGCATTTGCATATATCGTAAGATTTATTCTAAATTCAACAGCTCAAATTCAATAAAAAAAAATTTTCTTGTTTTTTGACAATTCGTTCTGTATCACGATTTTGAATGATAATATTTTTTTTTCTTCGTTACAGTAATGTCGAACTATTGTTTTTGTCTTTTCAAGTTAAAAAATATATGGTTTTTTCTCGTTTGTTGTTTTTATTTTCTCTATGACTAAGAAAATATTCATGATATGTGTGTACTTTCTTAGTTGACTATATTTCTTATTTTATCATGTAAATATTCTTAAAGTAAATACGATAGAACAAATGGTTTTGAAGAAGTGAATACTTAGTCGACATTGTTCTTCTATCGGCGAAAAACTTGTATTAAGAGGTGTTTTGTTTGCAGTATATAAACATTGACAACTGTATTTTTGCACATGTTTTTGTTGGATATGAACTATGAAGAATGTTGTTGTGTTTCTTTCAATCAATAAATGTCACTCTTTCTTTTTTGTTATCATTTTCAATCTTTTGTAGATGAGTATTCAACAGAATGTTATTGGTCCAATAACAGCTCATGGAGTTGCCAATCCATACAGTTGTTTAAGAAATTTTGAAGTTGTTAACACTGTTGGCAGAGGACATTTTTCTATTGTTTATTTTGGACGAAACAGAATCAATGGTATTCATGTAGCTTTAAAAAAGGTTGAAGTAAGTATTATTTTTATATCTATTTTTATTATCATTAACTATAAAAGATTTTCGTTTTTTTTAGCTTAGTCGAATGGCTGATGCAAAAGCAATTGAAGATTGTAAGAGAGAAATTACATTATTACAGGTAAGAATTAAAAGAACGAGAAGATGAGTAGATATATATAACAGAATGCTTCGTGAATATGAAGAAAATCGGACCTTTGTCAGATGACAATTGGTATGACTAGAAAATAATCATTTTTTACTATTATGAGTCTTTTTTCTATAAAAAGCGTCAATGCTTACTGAATGTATTTGATATATGAAGGAAAAAGCAGCATCGAGTACTATCAGGTACTATGATGAGAAAAAGTGTTTTTTCTATTTTAATTTTACATGAATGATTACTAACTATCAGGATGATAAAACTAACCGTCCATAAATAACTGTCACTGAAAAATATTTTACTATTACTACGGAAAATTTGAGATTTCAAGTTCATCACGTAGAACGTATAGTATTATGACTAGTCTTCTGATTTGTTTTGAAATGGATGTTTTCATCATATTTTGTATCTTTAGCAACTTGATCATCCGAACGTGATTAAATATATCGCACATTTTGTTGATGATAATGATCTTTACATTGTACTTGTATGTATTTTCTTATTAATAATTGTTATTCTCTTGACGAATTATTTTGTAATTTATTTTTAAGGAACTTGCAAGTGCTGGTGATTTAGCTAAAATGATTAAAGTAGGAGACAATTTTCTTGCTATTATCTATACGAACCAGTAAATTTTATTTTTACTTTTTTTCTAGCATTTTTTAAAAACAAAGAAGGTAATGCCGGAAAAAACCATTTGGAAATTTTTTAGTCAAATATGCAGTGGATTAGAACATATGCACTCAAAAAGAATTATGCATAGAGGTAAATTATCATATACTCTATCTATCAGCAAATGACGATGCTCTTTTTTCAGATATAAAACCAGCAAATATATTTGTTAGTGCTGAAGGTATTGTTAAACTTGGAGATTTGGGATTAGGACGCTTCTTTGGTTCAAACACAACGTCTGCACATTCTATGGTTGGAACACCGTAAGTAATTTAACAATATAAATGGCATTATTATTCTCACTTCTTTTTACAGATACTATATGTCTCCTGAACGAATTCATGAGCATGATCTTGGCTACGATTTTCGAAGTGATATTTGGTCGCTTGGATGTATTCTTTACGAAGTAAGAAACAAAATCAATTCCCTTTTATTATTATGATTTCTCAAAATAAGTTGACTCGAGAACAAAAAGACGAAAGCTTTTTTATATAAAGTAGACTGTGAGTCACAGAATATTTCAGTTGTATCAGATTTATAAAAGTATCACAAATGGGCTTACAGAGATAGAAAGCTCGGTTTTTAACCATTCTATAGCTAAGAGTTTGATGTACCTTTCAAAAGGAGTTGTATGAATGACAATATATCTCATTCAAATATGACCGGTAGTCTTATTTCATGTTTCTTTGCAAACTGCAATAATTATTATTTCAACAATTTTTATTTAACTAACAAAACATTCAGAATTAAAATTTTCCACTACTTTTGCTTTCTAAATCCATACTGACTTCTTTTCTCCATTTAGATGGCTGCTCTTCGTTCTCCATTTTATGGTGAAAATTTGAATCTCATCTTATTACGTTCAAAAATTGAAGCATTAGACTATCAGCCATTGCCAACAAATCTTTATTCACCAGAAGTATGTTAACAACATTTTATTTATCTGTTATATACTTTATTTTGTTTATTTTTATTTATATTAGCTTCGTCTATTGGTTAGTCGATGTTTAGTATTAGAACCTGAAAGTCGTCCAGATATAACTGAAGTCAATCGTATTGCACAAATGATGTATAATCGGTTTGTATCAAATTCACAAGCAAATACTCCAACGCCAACACCGACACAACGAGATAGTAGAAATGATTCTGGTTTTGGCAGTATTACACCAGTTAATCGTTAATAGCGAATGAACCACCTGTCCTAAACTTCACATCGAGAAAAGACAGTAAAAATTTATGGTTTTTTTCTGAACAGTGTGACTAGTTTTTACTGTTTCGTAAGTCTACTTATTGTCACTTTTCTCCTGTGATATTTACGATATGTCTAACATTAACCTACTGATCACATCCGTCCAATATTTTACTTCTTTATATATAGAGAGTGAAAACAATTTTATTTTATTGTCAATTAATCTGTTTTTATCCTACTACATTGAAATATGTTTTAAGTAAAAGTAGACAAATTTGTGTGATATAGGAAAAAGAGATGGCCTCAACATATTTTTTGAGATTGTGATATTGAATTTTATTTGAATGTTTTGTTGCTTTTATTCTGTGTTAAGACAAAAAATTCGTTGCATTTAATATATGTCAATGTCTACTCATTTCTAACCATATTTTATTCCTTCCGTATATTCTATTTTTAATACTGATACATCACTCTTTTCTTTTTTTATTAAGCGAGAGCGGCGACAGTTGCGTGTTTGTAAACTCTTACAAACTTTTAGGCAGATACCCGGTATGAATATATTTTTTTTTTTTTTTTATAACTAACCAAAGTTTTTGAACGATACTTTTTGTTGTATGCACATCAAAATAATGTTTTTTTTTTCTCGTCTTTTGTTACTCTTCCTTTATTTATGTTGTACGTACAAAAAAAAGCACATTCCATTTATCAAATTGTATTTTTCTGAAAATATTTATTCTATTTTCTAAGTATTTAAGACTAATGTTTTTTCGTCTGCTTTTCTGTTTGTCTTTGTAAGTTTGGCGTTTATCACAATGAAATAATATGCATAATATGCAACCTTTTTTTCCGTTAATGTATTCAATTTTTTCTTGACCAGATATCAACGTACAAAAATATGTTGAATTTAACAATCATCAACGATGAATTATACGAAATTCTTCTTTAACAAGACTGAAATATGTCTATGTTTTGCTGATTACTGTAGTGTAGTGGTACCAGATATGCAACAGTCTTGCTAAAAGCAAGAATGGAGATGATCTAAAGTCAAATGAAAACATCTAATTTAACTATTGTATTTTTTGATGAAGGGTTACTATTCAATCTGTATAAAAAGTCAAATTTGAAAATTATCGTTGAAAACATCGAATTGAACTTCACTTTGAAGCAGATCTATACAGGTCTATTACATACTGATAAACGACTACAAAAAAATGTCCAAGATTTAAAGTCGACAAACATGCCTATGTATGCCGATCTGAAAAATATACTGAAATGTCTATTTAGTTTGCTTAGGGGGATGCCCTTGACTGTCAGAAAACGATGTGATAGATCTTTCGCAGAGTTATAAAAAAAGAATACAGCAGTGGTTCCTCTGGCATGTAACTATTCAATATTTTATTATATAATATGTCTCAAATCAAGTCTGTGTCATCGCTCCCAGAGCCTAGCTTGTTAGAATCTCATCTAAAGGTTCTAATTTTGCAACTAAAATCATTCCTTTACTAAGATAAACATTTTTTATTTATTGTTACTTTTCTACTAGTTCACTGTTTACTTATTGTTTCTACTTTGATTTTTTATTCTGATTGTTACTGATAACGTAAAACATCGTAGACTTGCACTTCTTGCTATACAAAGGTGTGCCGATTTAGAAGGAAGTGTCAACAAGCTTATCTTATGATAAATATAGCTTAAATCAAAGGTTCTATGGACACTGGCTTGATGTGATGACAGACAATCTGTCAACATTGGGCATTTTTGGCACTTTCTTTTGCTCGTTCAACCTCCTGTATTTCGGCCTCAGAATTAGTTGACAGCATTTATATAATCTTTTTTCTCGAATGAGGCACTTTTGATCGTCATGGGGAACAAAACTTTCAAGAGAAATATCTTTCTCTTAAATATCTCTAATATACATATTCGATGCAGTTTAACAAGCTGATTCTGAATATTCCATTGAATTTTACGGAACAGCATCGAGATAGAGCTTGAGCTGGAAAAAACGGGTTTCGGAAATTTCGTAGAAATGCATGAGAATGAGTCACCACATAAAATTTCATTTTGAGTTTTAATGTGTTATCTAAATAACCTTTTGTTAGCAATTTCTTTCTACGAATTTCAAAACTCATTGCTGTGTTTAAATAGTGAATAATGTAACATTCGTTTTTTCATCACATGTCGGTCCGCATCTTACGCCTACTGTGCCGCTCTTTTAATTCAATTTCTTGAGTACACAAAAATGTCGAAATTTTTCACCTAGCAAAAATGTTTCTAATATCAATGTGAAAACAACCAAGACAAACAGATGAATAAATAGAAAATCGTCTGGTAAATAGATCTGCGTATACTTGCTGAATGCCTGCCAATCGACATTTTATTTGTCAGAAAAGATAGTTGCATCAACACGGTCTCGTCAGAATAACCAATTTTGTTTTTATCATATGTATGATAATTCTCAATTTGGAGGAACTTCATTCTATATAGTGTGAAAATAACAAGCTGTTTCTTAAGATAATTTTTCAGATTTAAGTTTTTTGCTAAGTTGGTTAAAACTTGCAAGAAAACTCGCTATCAACCGCATACAGAATTATACTAACATTTAACTAAGTTAATCGGTTTTGATTGTAGATCAAAAATTTACTGATGTATTATTGTTAATATCGCGTTTTCTTACAACTAGGGTAAAATAATATTTTGAAATCCTGTGTATGTTCGGTTGACTGGTAACAATTATCGTGTTTTTTCAAATTATCATCATTCATACTGTCGTTTCGACACTGTCTGAAGTTAAGTATAACGATTGCAATAGTTCTGATATTCTGAAAGATAGTTGCAAGTGCCCTATACTTATTGACCAAGATTGCAGTAAAGTTTTGATAGATTAATATGATCTTGCGTACAATGAAATAAGGCTCTGTTTAAAGCATACTAAAGGTTTACCTGAAGGAATAGCAGTGTGAGACCATCTGACTAAAGAATGATAAGTAGAGTAAGAAATAACTACAGCATTTATCGTAAGATTTATACTTTATCAATTAGTATGATGTCTATGGTGAGATGGTATATATGACTGAATTTTGTTCCGAAGAAAATAAAAATGTGAGGTTAATATAATCTGTTCAAGTTGCCATTCAACATGTGATTCAATTTCTGAACAATGGTACAATCCTTCATACTTATTAGTTTAAGCTTTAATATTGAACAAGAACGAAATCGACAATATAAATTCCCATTATATTATTCTGAAACTTAAACTATCAAAACAGAAAATCAATCCTTACACGAAGCTAGAATTGAACACGCAAACTTGATCTTTGCAGACTTATTATTTGTCTTAAAGATTTTAATCTACTTTATAGGAATTGTTAAAATATTTCATTTTGTTGGATCTAGAAAGAGTTGCTTTGTCCTCAAAGGGACCATATCAATTTCTTTTGTAAGATAATCTGTCACATTCTTCACGTCGCACATCACAATTGATACATCAAGAAAGTTAAGCAATATAGGCATGACGTACATTTTTAAGACGAATATTTCTAAGGTTTTTCAAAAGTTCAAACTATCAATTATATTGTTACACCGCCGATATTTATAGCAATCATATTTTCTTGTTCATTTTTTTTGTTACTTTGAAAATTCCACGTATTTAGCAAATCGCATTTAACTTATTTGAATTTCATGGTAAATGATGTAAATGACTTCTCTCCTTATTCCTCTAAAAAAGGAAAGAGTGAAAGTTTGAACGGAGAGAAATTGCTGGAAATCTGAAACTTTTACCCACCCATACCCTCTCTCCCTAACGCATGACGTACATACGCGAATCCATGGACAAAACTGAATGTACATTTGCTAGTGCCTTTTGGGCGAGAAACAGTTTTCATAGTTTCAGAAACTGTTTCATGGTAAAAAATGCCTAATTTAAATGAAAATCTCTTACTAGAAATGGCTTGATTTGAAAAATTTTCCAAGTCCAGTCACGGTTACGAAAAGTCAAGTCAATCAGACTTGACTTGGACTTGAGCCATTTTTTACTTGACTTATCCAGCTCTGATTCAGCCCCACCTTAGTCCATCACGTTTGAATGGAGGAGATACACTTTAGACCCACACTCTGCGCTGATAAGCTTTTTTGTCTTGGTCCGTAACATCTCTCCACCTATACAATTTATCGCTTGAATTAGGCATGATTCAATCTTCATTATTGTGGAAACTATCTTCTCATTAACTTATGATTCAAAATTAGCCCTCATCCATTCACTACACACAAAACAACAAGGATTACATTGAAGTTCACAATGTAAACCATTAAGATACTTGACAGTTTAAATGATCATTCATGACATTTTACATCACCAATAAAATTTTGACATGCAACGTCTATTAAAAAACTAAAAATCTTTAAACAATAATCATTTGTATGCTTCATTACGATGTTTATTGTATTATGCAACATGTTTTTATCGTGTACGAATCAAGCTCAATCCAAAACAGCATACATCAACAGTTATAGTTAACACTTCTATTATATTCATTTAGAGTAGTATGGTTCAAGACTGGCGACTTAATCGTGAAAGATCTCCTCATAATTAAGATCATACTTTGCAATATTTAACGAGTGTACAACTTTTTCTACAATTTTCTTACAGATTCTCTTACAAATATGTAAAATATAGTAACGATGAAATTTCTTACGAAAACAAAATATTTTTCATGAATAAATATCCAAAACACTTTCAATTTATATTTCACGTCATTTAGAAATTTTCCATAACTAGAATGTGTAATTAGACTCTCTTTAACAACTCGTCGTCTCCAATTCGTCTCTAAAGTTAAAGTATCGACTTTATCAAAGTCAAACGAGTGTTTTTATAACATGTTGGGCTACATTCAACGGCTTTTTCATTTGTCGTATGTCACGTTGGCGTTCTTTCATTCTAACTGTTCTTTTTCTACTTGTTTCTCCATAATATTTCATATTACAGTCTTTACAGGA